CGGTAAAGCAGATATATTTAAGGTTTCTTTTATATAATTGTTTATTTATTTAATTCTGCAAAAGTTACATAATGTTATGGAATGCCATATACGACAGCCAACTGCTTACTGCCAACTGCTGACTGCTTACTGCCAACTGTCAGCTGCTTACTACCAACTGCCACACATATTTGAATAAATTTTATTTTTAAATTGATATTTATGTAAATTTAAAAAAAAAGGTGCGGATCTATAGGGCATTTTTTCCAAGAGGGTCACTCTGGTAAAAAAAAATCCAACCCAGAAATTTCTTGACAAGAAAAAAATACGTAAAGTCCTTTCCTAAATGTGAGAATTTATTTCGGCTCTCTCATACCTTCATGTGTATGACTTTTTTCATACCAACTTAACACGATTCCACATTTTCGGTTGGGGACGGGGGGGGGGGGGGGGGGTTCTCCCTTTTAGTTGATTTATTTTATACATTAAATAAAATATTTAAATTAAATTGGTTTAGTTTGTGCATTTAATAACTTTACAAATTTCAGAGGGGTGTTCGGACCCCTCTCTCTAATCTATGCATGTAAAACATATTTTATTTGTACAAACAAAGAGATATAAATGTTTGAGCGGCGTTTTCTAAGTGGAGGGTCCAAAAGTTCGTTTAGTTTATTTAACGTATGACTGTACAAATTTTAAATGCCCCCCCCCCCAGTTCTTTGCATGTGAAACATTAAAGGGACGTAGCAACATTGGGGGGCCAGGGGGGCCTGGCCCCCCACTTTTTGTCCCAACATTACCTTTACTGTTGAAAATGTCTATTGAAAGGATGGTTGCCCCCCCCCCCCCCACACTTCTTACCATAGTATAATGATATCAAGGATATGTAGTATTGTGTGGAAAAAAGTGTAAGTGAAAGGTAGTTGGCCTTAAAAAAAAGTTAGCCAAGTTGAGGAAATTTTTAACTACAGAATATAATGGAAAACGGAAATTTATTCTCAAAACATCTTTCTGCGAAACGACAAATCTTTTTTATTATTATTCTCTCTTTAAATGTTTTGTTGTCTCCGGGGGAAGGGGGGGGGGCTTCTTTAAAGATTAATTTTATTACCTATTTCAAATAGGAAAACAACTAAAAAAATAAACAATGTACTTTATCAACCGCATATAATGAATATATTGAATATTACATAAGATAAAACATATTGGTCATTTTATTCAGTTCAATTTTACCAGGGTGACCCCCTTGGAAAAAATGTCCTGGATCCGTGCCTTTTTTTTCTTCCTTTTTTTGTGAAAATTCATATAAATATCAATACAAATATAAAATTTATTCAAATATGTGTGGCAGTTGGCAGTAAGCAGTCAGCAGTTGGCAGTAAGCAGTTGGCTGTCGTATATGGCATTCCATATAATGTTACTTTTTAAAAAAAAAAAAAAAAAAAAAAGAAAAAAAAAGAAAAAAACAAAAAAAAAACAAAAAAAAACAAAAAAAAAAAAAAAAACAAACAAAAAAAAACCGTCCTAGTTGCATATATTATAAGCAATAATCACCACAATAAAAACAAGAAAGAATCACCAGCATGAATACGAGTCTCAACGCTAATTGAATCAGTTTGTTTTGCAATCCACTTTTATTGACTATTTATAAAGGAAAGTGTCTAAATAAAATATTCTACAAATATGGCAATTCTCCAGCATACAATATTTACATTAAAATGAAATTCAGGTACGTTAATATATCAAAAGGCAAAGGCAATCCATTGTTTTTCTTTGAATTATGGGAGTTATCTTTCTTAAGTAAGAATCATCCTTCTTTAAAATATCACATCGTATATCAAACGTAACATCAAAGAAATATCAACCATATTAAAAAAAATCAATAATTTCAATGCTTTTTCCATTAAAATCATATGCAAATTATATTAAGCAAATTACAAGTTACATTTCGTAGTTGAAAACACAAGTACTTGTTGTCAAAGCAGATATTTCAAAAATTGGTTTTCGTCACACTCATTTTATAAATATATTTTAATTTTCACCTAAGATGTACATGTATAATATAAGGAATCGCTGTTTAGGTTGTTGGATATCAACGATTAGTTGGAACATTGGATAATTTGCATAACGAACGAAGCCTGCATTAGCTATCTCAAGACGTTTGACCTTTTTCTTTGAAGTTATATACCATAACTGCCTATGGCTTAAAAAGTTCTCAATTGATTTTGAGGTTTTGAGATTTTTAAATCAAAGCCAGGCTTTTTGATATCATTGACAACTGTTTTTCAATAAAAATAGAACTCATAAATTTACTTACCTTGTCATTGTTCATTTGCAAAAACTATTTTGCTAAAAAAACATTCTGATTGTACACACAAGTACTGTGAAGTTGACATCAGGAAGATGCTTGAGTTTCTGATTGACAATATCTATGTTGTTTTTGGAGACCAGGTCTTGCAACAATCTTTTGGAATTACCATGGTTACCAACTGCGCAATTAGCAGACCTACTTTTGTATTCATATGAAGCAGAATTTGTGCAAAATTTTATGTGTGAAAAGAAGACAACACTTGCTGTGGCCTTCAACACGACATTTAAATATATCGACGACGTATTGTCAATTAACAATGGTAATTTCAATTCTTATTTCGATACGATATATCGTGGTGAGCTTGAGATAAAAGATACCACAGAGTTTGACACATATGTTTCATATTTGGATATTTTAAAAAAGACGTTAATGGTAATCTAACAACCAAGCTCTATGATAAACGGTATGACTTTACTTTTTCAATCATCAACTTCCCTTACTTATGCAGCAATATACCTTCATCACCTGCATACAGAGTTTATATATCTCACTTGATTCGATACGCAAGAGCATGCTCTACGTATGAACAATTTTTAAAACGAGGTAAATTATTGACAAACGAGTTGATGAAACAAGAATTTCAGCTGTCTAGTTCAAAGGCATCATTTCGTATGTTCTATGTTCGATACAATGACCTTGTAAGCAGATAAATTTATCATTGAATCAAATGCTGACGTACGTTTTTCGTGCTGATTACTAGTATTGGTCCATTATTATTACATTGAATTGAGACGGATTGTTGCGTTATTTCCCGATCATGACAATGAACACACGGCAGGTATGACCGGTTGGCAGGGGATGCTCACAAATCCCTATGACCATAGTCAATGTCAAAAATACATGTCGTTTACAAATATTTTAAAAATACGATTTTAGTATCACATGCTATGACCTTCAACTCGAGACTGAGATACTGAGATATATCTACGACGTATTATCAATCAACAGTAGTTACTTTCATTCATAAGTTGATTCAATATATCCCAGTGAGTTTGAAGTGAAGGACATAACAATTTCTGTCACACCCGTTTCCATATTTGGATGTTTTTTATTTGGTTTTGACGATAAGAGCCAACTAACAACTAAACTTAATGACAACAAAATATTACTACTATCCCATCGTTAACTTTCCTTTTTAATGTACATGAAGTAACATCCCACTAGATCACCTTCATATGGTGTTAACTTTCACATATTATTCGATACTCAAGACCATGCTCCGAGTATGACCAGTTTTAAAACCTGGACAAGCTCTGAAAGATTCTAGATGATATGACAGGATTTCAACAACCTTGTTTAAAGTCAGTTTTTCGTATATTCTACAGTATTGACGTTATAACGATCTTGTTAGAGAATATAATCTATCACTGGGTGGTATTTTGGTTGACCTGTTTCATACCAATTGTTAAGCCTTTGTTTTTAGACCGAATTTGCCGTCTACCTGATCTATACATAGGGCTCACTGGAGTTACCGTCGATAGGGGATGCTTACTTCTAATTGACACTGGACTTTATCTCTTGATTTTCCAGGGCCCCATGTTTATGTCTATGCCCTCTTCACAGATTTTAACTACTTTGAAGATGTTTTGAGATCGGTCACTGTTTGTTGCTTTCCCTTTTTTTTCATTAAAAATAATTCATTGTCTTTAAGACAAAAGAAGCTAAAAGGTCGTTGTGGTCTATTTCTTTCTCTTACTGCATTTTTTTTTCAGTTTCAGTTCTTCCTTATTTTTTTTTCTTACGGCATATTTTTTCAGTTCTTTATTTTTTCCTTTTACTGCATTTTTTTCCAGCTCTACCTTTCTTTTCCTTGAGGACGGGGCACAAATTCTCTGAAAAAGCTTGATTTTTTGTTTTCTTTTTGAACTCTTTTCATTAAAAATTTATATTTATAATTTTTATAATGTTAGAAGCTTCCTGACTTAGGATGAATAACCAAAAACTATTGTTGACCTATTCTTACAGAAATCTGTGCATTCATTTGACACATTTTTTTAATCAAAATTTTCCTTAGTGACATGTTCTTGCACTCTTCAGCTGGAATCATTTGACAGTCTGTCGATCATAACTTGTTCTCAGCGTAAATCTCATATAGATCTCAAACATGGAGTAGGGAAAAATTCTAATACTCAAATTAAATGAACTTATAAACACAAAAAATGTAGAAATACCAAGATTGTCAAAATTTATTAAGAAGATTATCAAAAACGTTTGTCCTTCTTGAATCCTTGAAGCTATATAATTATTTTATATAACTGTTTAAATCTTTACTTTATTCTTTTCTTTTTTCTTTATATACTTCTTTATATACTTGTCTATTTCTTTTTTCTTTTTACCTTTGACTGTTATTTCTGTTTATATATATGTGCCTCTTCTACCAGTGACCTGGTTCTGAGTAAATGATAGACTTGAAACCGAGAAAAAGAATCCGCTCAATTATAGAATTTTTTTACTACATAAGCTCAAAAAGCTTTAAGTATGTGAGAGCAAACCACATTATGACTAATTGTTTTATGAAAACAAATTCAAATCTCGTGTACACCTCTCTTCGGGCAGTGGTCCATAGTATTGTCAAGTTGTAAATTTTGAAATTTACCGAGTGGCAGTAAATAGTATTTTCTGCCACCAACTCAATTCAAAATTTACAAGATTACAGTATAAGGGACTCATTTTCACTGGTAGGTGAATTTAGAGATGAACTCAAGAGCATCTTGCAATTCCTGCAGCACCAATGAAACAAGCTTCTCATCCTATAAAAAATAGAAAATATTTCTTATTAATTCTTTTAAAAAAGATGATTTTTCAAAAAGTTTTTTTATTCACAGTTTATATCATGTCGTGTAGTTTGTACGCTTTTATGCTAGAGGACAATTTAAAAAAAAAAAAAAGCTTTTCCAAATTTATGAAAAAATTTTCATTGGAGCATAGTGACTAGATAAGTTTTCGGTTTTAAATAGTGGTATTTAATTAAAGAAATTTAAAAACCAAATGTTGGCAGTAAATTCAAAATTTACAAAACGACAGCTAACTTTAAACTTATTACTACGACTGACTCAATTTAAAATTTACAAAATGACAGGTGACTTAACATCTTAATACAAGTTTGCCTATGTTCTCGCTCTTTACTTTTTATAATGTTCAACACCTTTGAAGGGAATTCTACATGTACTAAAGTGTAATAAAGTTAAATTTCCCTTACTTCAATCCAAGAAATAAATCATATTAGTCAATATTTATGTTTTGCATGTATTTTATTTCATTAACAACAAAACTTCTAGTACTCTTTTTGAAAAATTCCTATTTTTAAATTTAACTCGAAAGCTGGTTCACAGAAAATTGGAATACCGAAACCGATACATGGAAGACCCTGTGTTACATGGATCTGATAAGTGACATTCGACATGCAGGTGTTCTCTGAAATATGACCTTATACCACAACCCTAGAAAACATATATTTTATGTCAAGTTAGTCCAAAATAATCGATAAGTTAATGCGCGCTGGTCAAAACCCAGTGTAGCCTTTCTTCTTGCAAAAATAACACCTTAGATCTTTTTTGACCGCGAGTTATATACTATATGTAGCCTTGATACAAGACCTGCAAAGCACCAAGTGCGGTCCGTCATAGTGGCTACCACAAAAATATCAGAGACACTCTGATGGATGGAGAAAAACCCTCTCTTATTGCCGCTGTGTATTTTTTGCAACAATATATCATCTAAACTCTATAAAGCATTCCGATTAATTAACTACAGCCTGTATATACATATTCTTCGCAAATATATCAAGTTTATCCGTCATGGTGGCCAAGGAAAGTTGCCGAAAATTTGTTTATTAGATACTTTTAAAAATATTTTATTAATATCACACGGATAAAATAAGATCGTTTGTGCACTTACGTATTTTCCTTCTAATAGTCATATTCCTCGGGATTTTTAAAAAATGTAAACTTTAAAAGCTCAGGTTTTTGATAATATCACTATGTCAAAAATATGCAAAGATGTAAGCCATTAATGTCTAACGCTTCCAATGCAAAATGAAATTGGTTACGTTAACGTCGAATGTCAAGAAATCAATATTTCATAAGAATAATAACTTAAGTAAATATAAAAAAGAAACAAACACATTCCAGACAGCTTATGGTCATGACTAATAGTAGTTTGTCATTATAATTGTCACTCGTAATAGCTAATGATGACATATAGTTCGCGGATATTTCTGTCCATTAGGGAATATATTTTTTTTTCGAAAAAGTCTCTTACCTTTTGCTCTTTTATCTTATTGCTTACGTGTATTTAGAGCCTACTGAAATTTAGACTTAATTTTTTTTCTAACAACGCAATGTTATGAATTAAAGATATTTACTTCACTTAAATTTAACAGAGCTGTTTCGAGAATTCGTACAGTTAACATTTTGTTATGAAATAGTATACATGATACCTTTTTTGAATTTTGATAGTTTCTGCATATTCAGTAAATGTCGTGCAGTAAATGTACATGTAGTGAAACAATTCAACCAAAGTCCATATCGCTGTTTAAAAAAGTTCGAACTGTTCTTTACTGGTTTCTCTAATAAAGTAGTTATTTTACAAAATTATTTTTTATAAAAAATATTGGGTAAAAAATTCTAAAACTAGGATATTCTACCTTACTTTGCATATTTATTTCAGAGTTCTGTCGCTGCACGTAAAAATACAATAAACTTTCAGTTTAAATGAGTACTAAAGGCACTGAACGTATTTTAACGTGTTGTAAAATAAAGAATAGACTTTGGATTAAAAATTACCAAATCGTCTCCCCGGGAACCCTGGAGGAAAACCGCCCCGTTGTCCCCTAAAGAATGGCGGCCTCACAGGAGGTGGTCGCCTCATTAATGAATTCTGTGGAAATGGCAGGGGTGGTCCCTGCATAGGGAACTGCCCAATCATATTTTGTTGCATAGGTATTTGTCCATTTTGAAACATAAATCTTCTATTTTGAAAAATAGCGTTTTGGATTGGGTTGGGTCCCTGAAAAGGAAGTGGTTGTGGCATTGGTGCCTGTCCCGGAGGAGGAAATCCTTGATTAGGAAACATCATGTTATTAATGGGATTTATTCCATTCATTGGATTCATTGGAATTCCGGGTGGTAATAACGCGTTTGTGGGGGCAGGATTGTTTTGTTGCGTAGGAATCGAACTTGAATCCTGCGTAATGATTTGGCCATTCACAATTTGTTGTCCAACTAAGTGTTCAAGTGCAGGCGCCTCTAACATCTGCCCGTTAATGTCTGCTATAAAAACTTTTCCATTATATCTGATGATGCTTCCATTTATGGATGTATCTGTTGAACCTGCACTTGAATCAGTTCCAGAGTTCGGTGTCTGTGCGTTTTGAGTTATCTGTTGAGCTTGTTGCACTGTATTTTGAATTGTCTTTTGTACATCCGAATTGCTGTTTGTTTGTTGCATTGTTGAAAGTTGTTGTTGCGTTGCCTGATCTCGTTGAAAAGGTTGTAAAGACGTTCCCGGAGCAGCTTGAAATGTTGTTCCTTGAATCTGAACTTGTTGCGAATTCTGTTGAAGAAGATTGGTTCCAGGCAATTGTTGCATTGGTTGGAGCTGACTCCCTAACGGTGCCTGGGGTTGAGAGCCCGCCGGTAATGGCTGCTGTGCACTACCTGCCGGTTGGGGGAATGGAACCATTTGAAATGGTGTGTACGAAATTTGATTTGGAGAGGCTTGAACCCCTTGAAAAGGAACTCCCTGTGCTTGAAAAGTTTGTAGTGGCGGGGTTGGTTGAAAGACTGGTTGGCTTGGAATTTGTGCAAATACATTTGTTGACAGCAATAAAATCAGAATTGTCAATCTAACCTCCATTTTGTTTCGAATAAATCTCTTTATATAGCTAAAAAAGAAACAACGCGTATCAGACGCAAAATGAACAAAGGTGCAATTATCGCACAATTTTAATCACATATATATTTTTTTACAAATCAGAATGCAATTAAACCTTTACACAAATGAATTATTAATTCTGTACAAATTAAGTAGTATAATTATTAATCAAAGTTTAACATATCAAAAATTTTCTTACCTGCATAACAATCTGATCCTTCTCCGGATAAATTGGATATAATGTAAAATTAACAGAAGGCACCACTCCGCGCGCGTGTAAATAAAATAAAAAAGTGTAAAACGTGCGACAACGATGATATATTAATTATGATCATAAAAGGCGTCAGGAGGCAGGTGCTCTTTGGCCTATCGGCACCTCACCTAACGTCGACAGCGCCGAATATCGGGGGCATTAACAGGCATAAATGTAGCAATGGCATACAAACCAACAGTTTTATGAGGTTATTGGAACATGATTGACATCGTACATATATATTCCCATCTAATTACTTATAATAACCAATTCCTAGATTTTGAGAGAGAGGGGGTTTTACGTCATCTTACTGGATTCGATCCTGTCGGACATTTGAAAATAACGAATAGAGATCAAGCTCAAAAACCCAGTTAAACATTAGATTGAGATCAGAGCAAAAAAGGACCTTCGAATGTGGGATCAGGTGTAATACAGAGGAGAAAGCACTCGCTGTCAACCGGTTATACCCGCAGTGAACACTTGGTCTTAATCGGGTAAACGAATGGATGTAATTTATAATCCAATCACAAATCGGAATATATATATATATATCTTTATTGCCCAAGACATACATCTTATAGCATTATAAGAAAATGTAACAAACATCAAATAATAGGTTACGTGACATGGTAATATAAACAAATGTAGTATATAATGGTAGGTAACAACCTTAAACAATATAATTATACAAATGTTTTTGTGACACTTTCAAGTATTTTAAAAGCATGGTGGAGCTTATAACATCAAATTACAGTTCCTTAAAGTTTTTTATAACAGTTGTATTATTTGAAAACTGAAGGTTTTTTCCTAATATTTTTTAATGTATCGACATCTAATATCACTAAATTGAGGGCATTTTAAAATAAAATAAAATTCATCTTTAAAAAATGGCACATTTCACAATATCTATCATTTGCTGGTAAAAACAGCTTTCAATAGCTAGGTTATAAGACAGTGTACTTAATTGTTCTTATATTTATTAAATGGCTTTTGTTAAGCAATATTGGAGAGAGAAATTTCAATGATGTACTTATAAATTTTGCATCTAAAGACAATTTATTTACAAATATATAAAAATAGTATAATTGTGAAATTATAAGGGAAAATGTGTTTTCATTTAATCTTATTTTATACCAAACATCACCTAGTCCAATTTCAAACAATTTTTCTTTTATATTTGTTACCCAATTATATATTTTGTTTATCGCAATGCCTTTAGCAAGAAATTAAAAATAAATATACACCTTGAACCAAAATTTGATAATTCTAAGTAACCTTACCACCTTCAATGGAAGTCTCCCAGTTTCACAATAAATCATTACAGAGTTTGTATTTTTTCTTACACCTAGAACATATTTTAAGTATTGCAAAAACTTTCTATATCTTTTGCATTATGAAAACCCCAAATTTCACATCCGTAATTTAAAACACTAGCAACATAACCAAACAAAGAAGCATTGTCTCTGTATTCAAATACATTTCACTTGTTTTAGCTTTTAAAGAGAACATAGCCTTTCTACCTTGTGTAGATAATTGCTTCTGTGTAATATTAAATTTTCCATTATAATTTAAAAGCATTCCCAAGTAAATAAATTTGTCAACAATCTCAATAGGTTCGTTCAAATTCCATATTTCATTATCACAAATTTTCCCCATAAAATATTAATGAAAAACGTCAGTCAACAAGTCGAAATTTAATATAATTTACAAATGTTAATTTGAATAAATTACAATAACATCAAATTATTCGAGTGTCAGTAATCTGTCTCCTTTATAAATTAATTATTCACAGAAAAGGCTTCTAAAATGTTAAATAATCACAATTTTGATTTTTGCCTCTTTAAAAAAAGCAAGATATACTTCATGTTTATCATAAAAACAGTTAGATTCATAAGACAGTGTAGATGTTCATTTTATTAAATCAAGCCAAGTTCAGGTACATGTACATCTTAAAGACAATATTTACAAATATATACAAGTAAGTATAATTGTGAAATTAGAACGAAAAGCTAATCTTATTTTATAAAACACAGAGTCACGAGAATAGCAGTAGTCTATATAAATGTTTATCGCAATGCCTTTAAAGAAATTAAAACTAAATATAATCCTTGTAGCCTTGAGAAAATAAAAAGCAGAAAGTATATTTTACCTGTCAAAATTTTCTCAAACAGAGAGCTGCAATTCTACAGGTAGTCTGAATAAAACCAGACCTTTCTATACCCTGTTCACAAGGACTGTATTTATCAAAGACCTATATATAATTAACAAATGCTAAGTATTTAAGTTTAATGTTTTATTCGAGTTGGCAGGTATTGTCCACAGTGGTCTACACAACACTGGGGCAGCCGGCAAACTGGCATACCCCCAACATGATATAAGATAAAATGAACGCTGCATTTATTCTACGGACACATTTCAACACAAATTATGTTTTAATTATATTATTTTGCTTTAGATTTACATTGTATAAGATATAATTTTCAAAGTCAACATCACATATATCGACATCAAACATCACATATATCAACATCAACCACAAAAAGTAACAAAATCAACAGTTCAATGGTTAAATTAAGGTATTCCCACATATTAGGAAAACGAGCCTGGTTTTCAATTTAACCACCCACCATGGACTCCTTGCCTACTCAAAACCCTGAGCAACCCATCCATCGTGAACATCACTCTCTCTCATTTCCAACCCACTGTAGAACTATCCTGCATCAAAATAATTCTGGTCTCCCTTCAAATTAGGGGTGGGGACCCCCCCCCCCTTTGAATTTATATCTTTCCAAGTTACTAGTTTATTGCTTTGTATTTCTATTATTAATATGTAGCAAGAGAGAAACCCTTTATATAAGAAAATTATGTAAAAAATATATATATAGATTTACCCCCCCCCCCCTTTTTGAAATTTATGTATTTATTTCAATTTTATTATTTATTTGTTTATTTTTAGGTGATTTGGAAAAAATTGAAGTATATCTTGCAGAGATCAAACAAACCAAATGCATTATTTAACTTTCCCTTTCGCATGAATATGCTGTAACACTGTATTCTTGACAATTTTAAAAGTGTTCACATTCCCAATTTGTAAACTGCAGAACATGTTTTTGATATTTAAATATATTACCAGTTTGAGGGAATGGTGATATACATGTACCACTTATTTTTAAAACAAGCTCTCCCAAGGACCATTTAAAACTGATTAAATCTTGTATATACTAAGCACCTATCAAACTAAGACACACAATAGAGGACTTTGTATTTACCGCTCATTTGAAAATGTAGTTGGACTGCAGCAGACATTGAAGGTACATATGACTAAATCCTTTATTCTAAACCCCTTCCCAGCTGATGCTCTATCTAAAATGCATGATCTTATCACACCTTAAGCTTCCTACTTTGTGAATTTTAGTGGGAGTTGGGGTTAACCCCCCCCCCCCCCCTTCAAAAATATGCTATGGAATAGGTGATTAAAATTATAGACTTCAATAGAAAATGGATATATGATAGAGAGCATGAAAATTAATATGCTTAGTCAGTGGAAACCTATCCTTTATCTAATACCCTAAAATGCTGGGTAAGTTTATCTAATCTTAGCATAATGCAAAAAATTAAAGCAGAAAGCACCTTTTACTTTCATTGATGCCTGTCAAAATTGATTAAGTACCAACACTGTAGAGAGCTCACATTTATTATTTTTTTCACAAAAAGGTGAATGATGACATATAATAAAATGATAGACCTTTCTATACCCTGTTCACAAGGACTGTATATATATTCTGTTATTTCGTCAGTTTTGTATATCTTCAATCATTAGATTATGTACAGGTAGACTTAATGATTTAGATAATTTGAGATAAGAGGGCAAAATTAATATTGACCGCATGTCAATAAATTATGTAACTTTTGGTGATTTACAATTATTAGATATATTTATATATCTGACGGTTTTTGTACATAATTTATTAATGCACATCTCATGTATTCCCTAATATGCAATATCAACAGTGCGTCTTTTTATACAATTTTTATTTTTATGTCAACAAATCGTGATAATTTGCAATTAATCCTTTTTTAAATATGCCTTAAGAATAGAATTATCACCAATCCTTATTAATAATCATTTTCTTTTTTAGAAACAACATGCCATTACTTTTGAAATGAATTTCAGAATAACAAATGTACAGACTGTAATTATAAGCATGCACATCCAAATAATGAACGTCCTCCAGACACTACTGTTAATGACCAGGTGCAGTTTATGTCCGTAACCTATTGTGATCCTCAACTGTAGCTGTTTACGGTGATTGATCGTTAATTTATGATTGCACTAGAAATCAAAAGTACAATTTTGATATGATATTTAAAGAAAAAAATCGAGGTATAATGTTTTTACGAGAGTTATGGTAAAAAGCAATATATTTACTTGTTTCTATGATGGGTCCAAGGGTTCCATCTATGACATAAGGAATTCATTTTGCCATTCTTCTCCTTACAAACCTAAACACTTGTACATAATGTCATAATTTCATTTTCAACACTCAACACGCGGCAAAAGAAAAATGTTTGAAAAATAAAATGTATTGATGAACAGAAACCTACATGTATATTGTTTACTAAGGTGGAGAAGATACAGACGTAAAAGGATCTTCTATTTATTTATCTAGCCTGTATATTTCATTTTTGTTCTATTTTAGATCTAAGGACAAATTACTCTACCCGCATAAAATTTTTTATCGAAATCGAAACTTTAATGTGGCATATAAAGGGTTTTCAATGAAATTTCGAACTTGAGCTAAAGATTAATTACTTAATTAATGTGTCGCCAAATAATTGAAATATGTCAGTTTTTGATCCCAGAATGACTTTCTTTACTTTCACTCATCGCTAAAATTTATGTTTCACTGAGTAGGGAAAACTGACAATTTAGATAAGCCGCGTGGAAGCAAAAACCTAATTAAGAACTAGTCCACTTGTATACGCGTTTATAACTTATTATTTTTTTTGAAATCTGTAGTACAACGATATGGGGAAATGAACCGTGTATAGTGAAGATTGTATACGCCAAACATAAAACGTAACGTTTTGCATGTGTGTTTTTGATGTTATCACCGGCTTTAAGGTCGAGACCAACCAGGTTATAATGCTTATGAACAGTCCGTAAAATAGATGTTTATTCCCTATTTAATTATTTTCAGAGTAGCATTATCATAATAAAGCATGCATATTACGACTTATTTTACACATGATCATTAAAAAGGAGATAAAATCATAAAGGCAAATGTTATATACATGTCTTTGTACAAGCTCCGACGTCTTATATACTGCACTCTCCAGTTTACAGAACAGTATGATAACCAAAATAAATAAATAATAAAGGTGATTATCATCATTTTGTTATAAAATGTATTTCTACAGAACATATAAAAATAATACATTCGTCATGAAATATACACAATGATAATATGTACAGCGTCAGAGTACGTTTTTGAGTCTTTGGGCGAAAAAAATAATAAATCCACGGAGAAAGTGGATGAAATATTTTGTGTTGAACACAAATTCCTTGACACATATCACAGTGTCGTGGTCATCTGGATCGTAGAATCAGCACCTCATAGAGCTGCTGCTAAGGCCTTCATTTCTTTCCTAATCGTGTACTTCTAAACTTATTTTCCTGCAAAAGTAAGTAAAAAATAGTTATATGGAAGTTTTACAAATAAGGCGAACCATTGCTTCTCCGCAGAATTCGAACTTTTTTCTAAAGACACAATAGTTATTTTCTACTCTGTATTCTGTTCAAACTGATTTTTCATTGATACTTTGCTAAGCTGTGGCAAAGTTTCTAATGAGAAGACAGGGGAGTAAATTGTAAAAAATAACTTACCAATTGGTTGTCTGAGTCCAGGGTTCAGTTGGTTGAATTGACCTGGGATTTGACCAACCATACCAGGTTGTCCAAAACGGTTGAATGTATTTAGGCCATTGTTGAAACCGGTTCCGAACTGGTTAAATCCTGTACCAAACTGATTTCCAAAGGGAGATCCCAGTGGTGTATTAAATCCAGTAGTTCCGAACTGGTTGAAGCCTGTAGTTCCGGCAAATCCACCAAGTTGTCCGCTAGGTACAAGAGATGGATTACGGCCGAACTGACCATTTATACCAAACTGGTTTCCAAATTGATTGAAGGCTCCAAACTGGTTCATTCCTAATTGTCCTTGCATTCCAAATTGATTAAATTGTGTTCCAAGTTGGCCCGGAATTCCTCCGATTTGGCCAGGAACTCCGAATTGACCGGGAACACCACCAATTTGGCCGGGACGAAGTTGTGCATTTAACTGTGGATTGATTTGTGCGAAAATAGTTCCACAGAAAGCAAGTGAAACGCAAAGTACAAATGAAAACCTCATCTACAAAAAAATATGCATAATTTTAATTTGGTCAAAATATTTAGCTCAAACAAATCCTAAAAAGCAAAAACAACATTCCACAAAAGATACTTTTAAGAAAATTCTCGAATGCATATATATTCTTACCTTGTTAGAGATCAATATACCCAGGTTAAAACTAACTTTGAATGACCAATCCAGGTTATTTATGCAGCTTTTTAGAGAGGGATGTCTGGGCTATTTACCATCAATCAACTGTTACGTTAATTGACACTGGCTTCGTGATTTCTCACCTCTTATTCATTCACCAATCACATGGGTTGATTTGGACATTACCAGGGTGCCTGTGGGATCGGGGAAGTTGGGGGTTATATACAGATGATACAATGTTAGCTATGGACCAAAGAGGAACTTAAGGCAAGAGAAACGAATAGGAATAAATTAATATAGTTATCTAGTTGATTTGGAGACAAGAATACACGTAGTTGCTCTTTTGACAGTTTTCTTATTGATAAAGTTGCATGTATAAAAGATTAACGACTGATAAATAAAAATATTTCGTAGGGACCGTTTTGACAGTCAAGGAAAATTTGAAATTTGGAACGGGACACTGAAAACATGAAGTGTTAGATTAATGATAATAAACACAAATTCAAATGCAACATATTCTAAAGGAAATCGATCCGTGCGGCATGAATGAAGTTATCAAGAAATACAAGAACAATCTTAAGTAATCCTGGGTTCTTAAATTTTTGTTTAAATGTTGATGTCTTGAAAACAAGTTTGATTATCTGGTTTAGACAAAATTCAAATATTATTTTAAAAATTATAAAAATATTTATAAATTTTTCTTTAATTGATTGTAGCAATACTTAAGTTTGCTATGATGTCAATTCTTATTGACATGTTTGTATCAGAAGATAATATCAAACACTCTAGATCCTAGTCTATTGCTGGTCATTACTCATATAAAACATTATAAAACATGTCCACAAGGCACAATGTCCATTTACGCCATGGGTGTCGATTACAGAAGGTCAGCGTTATTTAATTAGAGAGATTAATGACTTAATCAAGCCGCAAGTGTTTCTAACGTTACTAATATTCTTAAGTAAGAAAAACACATGTTTGACCAATGACCTAAAACGCATTTTCATAAGAAGTAATTTACTTACATTTGCTTGGTCATATGTCATTCTAAAACTAATTACTAACATGTGAATCTCAAAAACATTTTTTTCTGTATTAAATCAATTATAATTATTGAATAATGGAAATGACGAATATTCCTATTCAAATTTTGCCCAATTGTTGAATCTGAAAAAGAGGAAAACTGCATGCTGCATGATATCAGCTGACCTCACATTTTCATTTAAAAATAGGAAAATAAGAATTCTCTTTATTCATATACGTGTATTTATTGTCTCATAAAAATGTAATAACCTTGTGACAGTTTTCCATTCAGTCTAACTTAACAATTAACAAGTAAGGCTTTGACAATAATACACACCAATATTCTGTATACTTTTTGTATCAAGAATATTAAAAAGATAACATACCCCTCAGTAGAATATATATAACACATGTATATAATCATCCTTTAGGAAGCTTTTATAGTAAAAAAAAAAATAAAACAGATCTCTAATAATACTTGTCGAAAACAATTCAGTCAATTGTTAGTAGGATAATAATAAGAGGAGAGCTAAACATCAGTTATTAATTTATGTCATTCTTGAAGTAATTTAAATATTGGCACATTCAGCTTGTCACAAGCCACTGCTAAAGCCAGATGTTTTTCAACATTTGTCCATTGATATTTCTCCAAAGGAAAGTGCACAATTTGTTCTGGACCATAATCCTCAGGAAAATTAGAGGCAATCGCCAGTGTCTGCTTCGTCCTTCTTATATTCAAAATGCATTCAAGGAGAAAGAAATCTCTTTTAGCGCAAGCAATCTCAATAGCTTTGTTCACAGCATCGTCTGACCACTCACACTCATCAGCTTTTGCAAAAATAGAATACAAAGGAATGGCTTTTGGAGAGTAGGCGCCTAAAACTAAGCAGTTGTCTGTGAGTCGCGTTCCTGCATTCATGAGGAAAATCACGACTTCAACATTTCCTTTCATGCATGCGGTCTGCAAAGCAAATTCGCAGAGACGACTGTCCCATTGTCGGGATCTGTAGATAAGTTCAATTATTTCATAACTATCACTGCTTAGTCCTGCTGCCAATTGCAAAAAGCTATCATCAACGTGGATTCCGTCAGCTATCAGTAACTGGGCCTTTTGAACATGTCCATGACGACATATCATTTTCAGAGCCTCAGTTTTCTGTTCTTCGGTTAAAAGATTTACAGTCAAAACATACTCTAGAATGCTATTTGAGTCAGCTTCTGTTTCTACAAGAAGATGAAGATGTGCTTCGCTAAATGACACGTTGCTTTTCTGCAGAATGAACTTAAAAACGTTAACATTATCTCGAATACACGCCTGTTTAAGGGCATTTTCTTTCTTTTCTGGATCCCATTGTTGAAAAATCCGCAATTTTTCTAAATATACCAGAAGTTGTTCATCTACAGTTCCGGTGTGTCGTCTTTGCTTTGGTATTAAAACATGCGATTCACTTGCCAGATATTCCACGAGTTCGAAAGACGATATGTCAATCTGAGCCGAGTTGGCATCCTTCATCTTCGGATGAATTCCAGTTTGTTCAGACTGCGTCAGAGGGTGTTCCGATATGTCGTGGATAGCACCGTAGTGTAGTATAATCTCTACAACTTGCGGACAGTCCGAGTTCATCGCCAGAGCAAGAGCGTACTTCCTCTCGAGTCGAAACCAGGCATTGTTCGGATCATAACATTGTATGATTTGAGATAAAAACGCAGGGTTTCTGTAGCTAAAGAAGACCACAGATGGCGAATGGTTTCCAATGTCAACAGAGTATTGTGAAACCAGTCTGACTGCATCTGAAAAATTGTACCGTCTGGTAATCAAGCTTTGGAGACGTGAAGTATTCTCGAAATGTTGCAAGAGGTTTTTAACAAAGCGGTTTTGATGCATGATCTTTAAGTTGATTGTTTCATATGGGTTTTGATTTAATTCCGTATAAATTCTAGAATAGAGCATTGAACATTCTTCCGTTCTCAAAATCAATTTGTTCCGTCTAATATCTGTTTCTTTATCATCTCCTAAAAAGTCACACCATATAAGGTCTAAATCTGTATTTCCACAATTACTCAAAACAACTTCGAGGAATTTTCTTCCTGCGACTGTGAAAACGGTTTCTCGAACTGAGGTGTGCGAGAATTCGTATACTGAGGAGGATGCATTGAAGGTGAGGAATACCCCTTGCAGGAGTTTAAGATTTTTTCGCAGCTTCTCTAAATCAGGTGCACATGACCCAAATTTCCCTAACATTTCTTTCAAAGTTTCGGTTTTGTTTAACAAACAGTGATAGGGAAAGCAAGAGTCTTTTGAAAACAACAACACCACACAAAGAGTCACAAACCTATCACAATGAAAGTCAAACATTTCCTCAATATATCCCATAAGTACCTCGTAAGGATGAGTGAAAAAATTCAAACCGTTTCGAAAAAAATTATCATGAGAGAAAAACAATTTGCAAAGATGGGGGAAACCTAACGGTGTGTCTACATTTCCAATCTTATTTTTCAGGTTTTTTGAGAGATGCCTTTTGTAAGTTTTTGAATAATTATCCAACATTTCTATTTTTGAGAGTCTATCCATTTTGTAGTCCGTTGCTAAATTGACGACATATCTGTTTGTAAAGATGTTGTGTTGACTGAATTTAGAGGAACGAAGATATTGCAGACTTTCGGAATAAATATTATTTCTCGAGGTAATAACGACAAACACACCCCTCATGTCTGGATTCCCGAACCCCTTATACAAGTATAACTCCTCAAATCTTTGCCGCCATCTCTCAAAAAGTTTCATTTCAAACCCAAAACTTCCAAAAATATCATCCACTAAAATGATGCATTTTTCATCGGTCATCAAGATTTTGTGCAACTCGTCTGATTTCGAATTCCATAATTTTATTGGGGTCATTTGACAAACTTCATGGAAGTGGTGCAGCACAGAGAGACCAAGAGTTGTTTTTCCTTGGCCTGCCTTCCCTATTATTACAGCCAACCCTGTCTCTAATATAAGTTTGATGACGTCATCCAGGACAGGTAACTCTGTGTAGCAAGGAGATCCAAGTTGTTGGTCTATAAGACGTTTGGTTTGTTCTGAAAATTTGATATTCAAAAATGTATTTTATACTGGAATTAATAAATGCTAATGGCACTCTACTTTTAAAACGAAGAATGAGTGCATTTTATTACGTCATTTGGAACCTTTTCCGCTACCCATTTTAATCTTTACATTACAATATATGGCTAAATAAATCTATGATTATTGTGCAAGCATAAGCTTGTGATATCAAAATATGCCTTGAATTTTTTGTCATACATATTTCTATAATTACAGACAATGCCATTGAAATGAACATGTATAAGCCTAAAATTCCGGAAATTTGAACGGGACCACTATCGAATTTAACATGTTTAAGGTACCCGCAAATAGGCGGATACATTTAAATCGCATGGATGTGGAATGTAAACAATAGTACATATGATTTTTTCGTAATAAGATGCTACACTACGAATTCAAATGGTGAAGAGAGAGAGATTGTGTAGTTTCATACATAGGCGCTTGGTTACAGGATGGTGTATTTTGTGTATTATGTGTTTTTCTACGTGTGACCGAATACTCTCTTTAAAATAAAAATAAAAAATTTGCCGAAATTAGTCCGTTTTAAAAATGTCATATTTACTGTATATAAAAAAACATCTTTTAATTATACTTCTTTTTCAAAGCTTTTTTTAAAAAAAAAATATCGAATGTTTTGTTATTGTTAAATAAAGAGGGCTACAGAATCACTCATCTAAATATGACTTCAAGGAAGGAACTCGTACCTATCAGGCTTTCTGCTAACGGATCCCATGACTTTCGACGGTCCAAGTTTGCTGTGAAGAAATTGTACCGATCAAATATTATTGCAAGAAAACAAAGAATAAAGGAGGAAATATTATGTGGTCAAATCTACACAAAACTTTCATAACTCTATATTTAACACGTATGATAAAGACAATTTTAACATAAAACATCCAAAGAATTGTATATACAAATTTAAAGCATATATATGAAGGGTTCTTTAGAACATGGTTATTTTTTCTTCGTATTTTAACTATATTGTTATATTAAGATGTAGTGTTTCTCCGGATATTTGACATTTTCAGAAGTCCACATTTAGTATTGTGCTCATAGTCAAGTGTGCATTTTAAATAATAAACAGAAGTACATGTGTATTCTTACTGGATATTGTAAAATTAGTAATGTTTGATGTGGTGACATTAATGGTTCTTCTCGGATCCTATTGAAAGAAAATGTAAATAAAGATAATTCATTATTAATAAATAAATAGATCAAGCAAGAGAAAAATGAGTTGTTTTTTTTTTTTGCATTAAGAACACAGCTCTTTTCTGATATTATGAAAACTAATTTTTTTATAAAAACTTCCTTTAATTCAAATAAAGATTTATTGTCCTTGTGCTTAATAATTGATATGTTTTAATTAAATATTCATCAAAAATAGAAATGAATCTATTGATTAATACGGAGGAACCGTTGACCTTGAATTTCTCATAATTAGCATTCTACTTCCTAAACGCTGAAAATACTGAACAAAAGCTCTTTTCAGTTTGGCCATATACAATACATAGAGCCCCTTGATACTTTTTTTTGAATTCAGAGATGACAGACTTGCACATTCTTGTTCTCTAGATATTTCTGCTGTTTTATTTTCTTTTTTTACACACAGCATTAGTAAATTACTGATATTTAATTATATCACTTACTGAGTCAGCTGACGGCACAACTTGACTTTCCATGATAACTGGGGATTTCCCAAACGATATTGGGACATGTCACCACCTATTATCAATAAACAAACAAGTACTGCAATGTCAGGGATATAATGAAATGTGTATTCGAGCACATAATAAGTACACGTGATCTTGGAAATGTACCTGATAACCCCCCTCCCTTCTATGTAAATTAAAAAAAATTGTCTAAGTCCTTGTTCTTTACTCTATGTAATACTAAAGTAGATTTACAGTAGAACATGAGCGTATTCTCTTCCTTTATGAAGTCATTTCCAATGATTCGAACAACAATGAAACCTTTTTACGTTCTCAGTTTTGTTTAAATCTGTACAATATATTCATAATGAGATAAAATAAATCTAGCATGACAATATTACCATTTATTATCACAGATGCTTGTGGACAGGACCCCCCCCCCCCCTTCCCTTCAAATATTCATCCCAGGTCCAAAAAATATATATATATATATATATATATATATATATATATATATATATATATATATATATATATATATATATATATATATATATATATATATATATATTTTTTTTTTCATAAATTTATCTTCTAGTTAACACTCTATTTTATAGTATCACTGGTATATTTTTTTAAATCAAACGTTAATTCTACTATATTTTTGTGAATTTTTCATATAGAATACATTCTAATTTTGTACTAGAAGATAAATTTATGAAGAAAGACGAATAAAAATATATTTGGACTCGGGTATATATTCAAGGGGGGGGTCTTTCCGAAAGCAACTGTTGCATATGTAACATCATCTTCGCTAGCCAAGGATTTCCGTTACGCTATTAGGAGATCAGTAGCGTATTAGAAACCCTTGGCTAGCGAAGATGATGTAACATGTATTCAGACTGCAGTTTTCAGAAACCAAATGTTTGCTTGTGTAGTACACCTTAGTCAAAAAAAGATAAAAATCTACAAGATTCAAACAAACCAAAAACTGACATTTTTCAAAAAAAAAAATGTAATCATACCTGTGTTTAATCCCGTATTAAATCATTCAAGGACCAATGGTCGTCAAAAGTTGAGCTGCATACTAAGACAGATTTTAATTGACCAATGCTAAAAAATCACTAATACATGTACATATACATATAGTTAACTTAATATACACATTACTATAAATAGAATCTTACATCAAGAACCTACTAACCTATATTATTAAAGTATCATATCGAGCGCTCGTTATCTACCTTTCTATCAGATTTATAAAACCACGGATTTTTCAATACACGATCATGATAAAAACTCAATGTTAATATCCCTGAGGTTAAAAAAGTATAAAATGCATTTTTCATTTCGATACATTATAATTTTGTTGTAACAATTGAAAAATGGTAGAATTTTTCAAACATTTGTTAATGGGGGAGAGGCAATGTCACTTATTACTTTGTTTATTAATTTGGTGTTTATTCCTGGGGAATTTTGCCCTCAAGATGACCCTACCTTTTTTTTTAAATTTTAGTGGTGTAATTTATTTTTGTCTAGAACTTTTTTGCAATGTAGTACATTGTATTATGTAATTTTGAAGGCACTAGTGGTACCAGCCCAGAGTACTTGTCTGGTGACTGCTGCATGGGATCGGCCCCAGCCAATGTATGTAATAAGTGCATGCTTCCGGGTCATCTCTGAGTTTACTAGCCTGCTGGGAGCAGCCCCAGGTAGTGTGCTCTCTTAGGATCCGCCTATCGTCACATGTACAATCCACTCTCGAGAGAGCTATATTTGGACTCCGGACCCTGGCGTGAGACTACAAGTTCAGCCCAAAGTATTTGCTGTATTCTCTTTAAAATAGAGACCAGCTCTGAACATTGAAGCCTCCTGGGATCAGACCAGAGGAGATTTTTATCGTATTCATCCCCAGGCATTACACAATCCAGGTATCAGCCCAGAGTATGTCTTTGTTGTATTCAGGGATCAGCCTTCAGTTTTTATCTATACTGGTCAGAGAGAGAAGAGCATAGTAACGTGTTCGTCTTGGCACACAAGTAGACTACACTAAGATACATAAGTTTGTATATCGGTTTTTTATTTCGATGAATGGTGTTGCCGTAGTTACTAAAAATAGAAATTTCTGTGTAATCCTTTCAAAATGCTACTCCAAATACAGTTTTAGTCTGATAACAGGGGCTTGTCACGAAATATTTATCTTCTTTTAATATAGTTACCCCTACTATAAAAATACACAAGGGAGGAATCTAAAAATAGGAAATTAGCTACCACAAATTTTGACCGGACTTTCTATTTAGTTTCTGGGCGACTTTCGTTGCCAACCAAGTAGGAGTGAGTGGAGTATAGATTCGATTTTAATATTCTTCAGTCAAATTCTAATCAACGAGTACCGTTAGTCACATAACTAACCTCTTTTTTCGACATTTGGATCTGGCGACAGTTCTTTCCATATGTGTAGATAGATAACTCGTACACAAGGTATAAAATGGATTTTATTCACTGTAAGGATTGACATGCTTAGTGAAGGATATGTAACATGTTTATATAAATAAATGTTACCAAATATAGTAAAACACATACCATGAAACCACAGCTACAGTTTGATTTGGTGCACTAAATTCGAGAGTTACTTTGTATACGAGTTATCTACAGAAAGCAACGGTACTCGTTGATTAGAATTTGACTGAAGAATATTAAAATCGAATCTATACTCCACTCACTCCTACTTGGTTGGCAACGAAAGTCGCCCAGAAACTAAATAGAAAGTCCGGTCAAAATTTGTGGTAGCTAATTTCTTATTTTTAGATCCCCCCTTGTGTATTTTTATAGTAGGGGTAAATATATTAAAAGAAGATAAATATTTCGTGACATGCCCCTGTGGTCTGATTATAGTATAATGTCGCATGCAAGTAGACTACACTGAGATATATAATTGTCTTTATTGTTTTTTTTTTTAAATTCTGATGAATGATGTCACCATTGTAAGTAAAATAGATAATTATGTAAAATTTATTTAGAAGCCACTTCTAAAGTTGTAGTCTTTTTGCAATCTTGTCACGAAAAGAAACTTAATCAAGGGTCATTATTTTATTTATTGCTGTTGTAAAGTTTCAAGTCCCAACTGCTACTTTTCTCTCCCTTTCTTATAAGTACAAACCAGTAGAGCTACAGTCTCGACAGAGATTTCAGGTTTTGTTCATGCCTATAGGGATCAGCCAGCCCTTACATTGCATCTTGTTGAATTCCTCAACTGGATCAGCCAGGAAATTTGTTTTGTCGCCTTAAAGGATCATCCTTAGGTATTGTCCACTCCTGGGATCAGCTCGGAGTGTAGGATGGTTCATTCGTGCCTTTGGGATAACTCCTAGATATAGTTTTGGCTTGTATAGAGTGTTTTCCATTGAGGTGATTTAAGCAAGAGTTATTCCTCAGGGACGACATACTGTAGGTCAACATTCCCAAATCCCTTCATTATTCAACCAAGTTCAATTTGTGATACTGGTTACTGAGTTATTTAAAAGATAACACTGTTTTTCTTATGCATATTCATTTTATTCATAATATTAAGATTGTAAATACCCCCTATAATTATTTCTTATATGCATGTTTAAAATTGATCAAAAAGGAAAATTTACTACTTTGCCCTACAAGATGGCGGCTAGGGGGATAACTCCGGGGCAAAATACGTCATAGGAAAACGGTCTTAACTCCAGAGATAAGCTCTGAGTGACAATATTTTGTAGTTGCTTTTAAGTTTTTGAGTGATAAAGTTGAGAAATACTAGTAGTAAGTAGCCCCCAAAACGCTAAAAAATATGAGTATAGATGGTTTCCCTATGACGCATTTTGCCTTGGAATTATTCCCCTTGGCCGCCATCTTGAAGGACAATGTAGTGAATTTTCCTTTTTGAGCAACCAATTTTACACATGCATGCCAGAAAATATTAAAAATCTTGCAATTATGAATAAAAAGAGGCTATATATCGTATTCATAAGAAAAACAGTGTTATCTTTACCTCAGTACATGAACACGTATAACAAATTAAACTTGGTTGAATTATGAAGGGATCTGGGAATGTTGACCTACTGTACAGTATGGCAGCCATAGGGGAATACTTAGTAACTCTTGCCTCAATGGAAAACCATCTATTGTGGGAATGGGCATTTTCTGTTTCAGTTTCAATATATGTGTTTCATTTCTTTTGCAAAGAATGATTGATATCAACCCAAAAGAGCTCTTAAATCTGACTTAATTTTTTTGCATATATGGCCTAAATAATTGCTTCGAGTGCCCTTCAATGGTAATGTAAACGTAAAAAACAAACGAAATAAGTTTAAACAACGAATTACTTCATTTCCTTATATTTGTAGAACTAACATCATTTTTGAAAATGGAGAAAATTAAGTGAGAAAAGAAAAATTAAAATCATCTTAAACGATTTATCGATACCAGAAGCATAACAAAGTGGAGATTATATAAATTTCTTTTCGTTTGTAAAAAGTGGAAAAAAATACGTGTGCCTCAGTGGATTTGAACCGGGGTCCTTTGATTTTGAAAGCTTTCACTTAATCCACTGGACCAGCAAGGCTTGAACGAAATGGGTATTTAAATGAATTTTGATGTTGGCAATTTAAATGGCACTATTTTGTTTATCGTAGTAAGTTTCCATCATTCGGTTTAGGGTATTTAAACTTTGGAATTGGCTATTGTAATCACTCGACAAAAGTTAGCCAACGACTTACAAGTTTTTTGAAAATATATTTTCAACGATTCATTTAGATGTATTTTCAGATATTGGAAATAGCTTTGTTGAACATTGCCAGGAAGCCTTTCTCAATTACATGTAGGATGTTACTGGTTTCACCTTTCAGCTGCAGATTTGTATAGCTCTCCATTAAGAATCCCTTCAATAATGCCGCATATGTTTTAATGTATGTTTAGAGATATTTCTAATATATATGTATTTTGCACAGCTCTACTTAAACTAGTCAATTTATTGTACATTTGTGAGACTGAGTCCGCCATTC